CATCTATGCATTCTATGCCAGCGGTAAATAAATCGAGATTACTCTTTTTTTTTTTTTTTTTTGACTCGACAGGATCAAAGTTTCTTTCTTTTCAGATGCGCGCGACAAGATCGCGGAGCCAGCGACGGATCTCGACGCGACTTATCACGAGGTGCTGCGAAACATATCTCGGCAAGCGTCTGCATTGACGACGAGGAATGCCGATGTGACATCAAATCCTTATTTGACCCAGATAACGAAGAATCTTAAGCCTATTTACGTTGCGGAGACGACGATTAATTCAGTAAACAACAATGACACGCAGAAATCACGTTCCGATGTTGATTTTTCTGGCGCGCCGTTTTCTGTAAAAAATAAGAAGATGAAATTATTTAAGAAGTATTTACAACTGAATCGCACAGTCACGAGCCCGTCATCAAAACTCGACGAAGAAACCGTTGACGAATCGATCACCACACCGCGAGGATATGTCGATGGGAAATACAACGAGAAGACGAAGAACGAATCGTTCGAATGGTCATCAAATATTCATTCCAGCGCGACGGAAAAGCCGGATCGTCGCAAATGGAACGTACAAGAGTCGTCTACTCGGGTCGCACCTCCATTTACTTTGCGTTTGAATAACAGTAACACTTACGACGTTTTCAACTTGAGTAACTTGAACATTCCGAGCATAGTCAAACCTCTTCGTTTGACCTCTTCGTCGAGTTACACTCTCGCGCCACGTCCGTTTTCCGTCGTGCAGCCGCCTACGACCTTGCCTGTCGTCGCTAATCTCGAGGCGACGACGTACAAGAAACCGAGCCACTCGCCGGCAATCGCCGGTTTGAATCATCAAAAAATCGCTCCTTCTTCCGCGAACGTTCTTCCGCTGATCCTCCCGACGGATCTTTTTGCGCCGTCTCCGGCGCGTCACTACGTGCCGACAAAGCGCGCGAAGCACGGGATTCTCGATGGAAACTCAGCAACGATTGTCGCTACCACCGAGACAAGTCCGGCAGCGAATCCCGCGAGTGGAAAAATCGCTTTTGCTGATTACGTGGACGCAATCAGCACCACGAAGAATCCTCGGATTAACGCGCAGCTAAATTCCGCCTCGTTGAATTTTTACAGCGTCACGGAGAAACCCGCGACTACAGTTTTAATTCCCAGCCCAGCGTCGTACGAACTTCAGCCGAAAATTGCCGCTTCCTACAACATTCCCAGTGATGACAAATCGAACTTAAACGCAAACCTCGAACTTTCGTTGTACAATCAATTTGCTAACTTATATAATGTACCGAAAGTGATTGCGCAGGATTATCAAAATTTGAAGCAACCACTGCAGCAGCCTGTGATAATTTCACAGCAAGTCTCGACCGTTCCTTACGCAACTTTGAGTCCTTTTTCTCCAACGTTGCCGAAAGTTCAACCGATCGTTCCCACTAAGTCTCCGCTCGCGCCGTATTACGACAGCAGGTTGCTCGTTTCGCAAAACGCGAAAGGTGGAAAAGAGCTCGACGGTGACAAGAAAGAAAACGTCGATTCGAGCGATCAGTCTCGTGCCGATGACGCCAGTAATGCCGACGAAGAAGAAGAAGAAGAAGAAGAAGAAACCACTTCGGACGAAAAGAACCGCGGAAATTACAAAATTCCGATCAATAATGACGCTTACAAAATAATTCACGAAACGCCGAGCGCACCGCAACGCGAGAAAAACGATCGCGAGGAGGAAACAAAAGAAGATCGTCATCAGGAAGAGAGACGTGTTTATGAACCGGATAAAACTGATAAAGAGGACAAAAACGACAGCGGATATGAGAGATACGAAAACAGCAAGGACCGAACTGATGAGGACGAGTATGTCGATACCAAAGAACGCAACGAACCTAACGATCGTCATCGTCAATACGGTCGAGACGGAGATTCCGGGGAAAAGAAACGAGACAGTCAACGCGACAAGTACGATTACGACATTGACTTCGGACGTTTTGATTCACGGTACAATGACGACAATGAGCAAGACAAGGAGTACAGCACGCGCTACGATCAGAAGAAATCGGCGGGCACCGGTCGACGCAAAAAGAATCGAAAAAATCGCGAACGCGAAGACGACGACGAGGACAAATTTAACGATCGACGTTTTAAAGATCGCGAACAGAACGAAAAGTACAAAAAGAAACGGAAGTACGTTCCGCGAAAGGATGACGAGGAGTACAGCGAGACCAATCCCAAGCATGTTCGCGAAGAACATCACCACGTTAGTCCACAAGGCAAGGATAATAACAACGAGAAGGTGAGCGATCACGTGCACGGTGAATCCAAGGAACACGCGCACAAACACAAAGATCATCATAAGGAAGATCACAAATTCGAAGAAGGCAAAGGTGCCGAGCACGAGGAAGAGCATCACGGGCATCACGGGGAAAAAGGGGACAAGGTATTCTTTTCTCTCTGCTTTTTTTTTCGCCGAAAAAATTATTCTCGTAACGGCTGCGACATTCGAGTCTTATTACTGTTTTATAAAGGGCTATAAAGTCTGGCACGAGCACGAGAAGGCCGAAAAGGGACATCACGACAAAGAACACGCCACTAACGAGTACGATGAAAAGGACGGCGAGGAGAAGAAGCACGAGGAAGAAGGCGGATATCACGAGAAGCATCATCACGACGAGGAGGGTAAGAAAACGGCGGAATTCGGCGAGAAGGGTGAGCACAAGAAAGGCCACAGCACGCACGGCGAACACTCGGTGCACAAAAAGGTAAAAAGAAAGAGAAAATCCTGTGATAAATTTTAAATTATTATGATTTTTTTTTGGTCTTAATCGAGCGCACGTGTATTTTTTATTTGCAGGACGAGTACGAGAAGAAGACCGAGTTCTTCGACGAGTTCCACGAGGACGGCGAAACCGAGAAGCACGGCGGGCATCACCACGAGCACAAATCGGAAAAGGGCGGCCACGAGAAGAAGGGCCATCACGACGAAGCGGACGAGGACAAGAAGTACGGCGAGGAGTCCAAGTACGAGAAGGGCGGACATCATCACGAACACAAGGGCCACAAGGTCGACGAAGGGCACGATCATCATCACGATCATCACGAGAATCACGGCAAGAAGGAGGGGCACGAGCACGGGAAGAAGTGGAGCTACAAGAAGGGCGACAACGGCGGAGACGGTGGTCACAAACATCGTTGAGACGATAATTTTCCCAGAGAGACGTTTACATATTATCGTCAATTAACGTAATTAACTATAACGCTCACGATTTTCGATACTCTTGGCTGTACTTCTTCTAGAATTAGACGACAAATGTCTGAATTATCGTTGACATCGATCACGCAAAATTGTGAAATGTTCACGATATTCACGCGCGTGAACTTCGGCGCGAACATCCGTATCATCCGCCGTATCATCCGATCGTTGTTATCTATATCAATTATCTCTAAATGTAATGGCACGATATGTGTATGTATGTGTATGTTACATATCTCGTGCTCTTCGCGCGTTATCTAGTTATATCTCAGTTCTAGTTAAGCAAAAGTGAAACGAGAGTGATTCAAGTGTCTGTACTGAGCACTAACTGAGGCGGAAGTAACTGATTGACCTCCGAGCGCGAGCTGAGCTTTCTGGAAAATCGGGAAAACTCGAGAGACTCGTACATAAGCTATCACAGATAGATTTTCGTTCTTCCGATCTGATGAAAATTCATTTTTCGCTCGCGACTTTTTATTTTGCGCGAGATTAAACTAGATCTATATAGACACACAGGGAGATTTTGCAACTAGCACACGAATAAAACTTTATTGTATAACGTAATCGATAAGGTTTAATAATAAAATTTTATGTACGTTATTGTGTTTTAATTTGTTACTTACTTACATTATTCTTTTTTTTTGTTCTAAAACTGTATTTATTAACATTTACTTGCTGAACAAGCGCCGAGAATAAAATACATCTACAATATTGGAATTTATCTTGCGCGTATCTCGAATCGCATTATTGCAATAATAATACTCCTCGATAGCAGAGCATCTAACGTCGCGTTCGTCATCTTCTCGTTCGCGATTATAGAGCAATGCAATTAATTAGAAAGCGGTACTTCGCTGTTGTACCTAATTAGAGAGAAATGCCTCGATGATCTCACACTTCTTCTTTCCAGCTTCTTGTCGCCGTGTTGCTCGTGTTTCCGTCTATAAACGCGAGACCAGTTTTATTTTTATGCCGCGTTAACGGGATTAATATCCACATGAGGATAGTAACAGAACGAGGAGCAGGGAACAGCGACATTTACAACGTCTCTTCAGCGCGACCTGCGAAGCGCGCGCGAGAAAGAAGACATTAAAAAATTCTTCTCCCTCGACGCCTTTAAAAATGTTCTGTGAAGTGGGCGTACAAACGAGTACGATCGTAAGAATTAATCGCACGAGAGATGCACCCCGTTCTCTCAATCTCTTTATCTTTCGTTCACTTCCCTTTTGTTACGCCCCGCGCTGATAATGCCGTCCTCTATCTCTTGCGAGAGCGCCGGGTATCGATCGTTCCGACATCATTCGGACTCCGGAATCGCGGGAGAAACTTCAACTCTGGCGTGAGCGTCGCGGATGCAAACGACAGGCGATTTACGATCTTTGCGCTTTATTAGAGACGTTATCAGTCTCTCCTCTCAGGCAGTCATCTCGAACGTGAATCGTGAAGTTAATATCAAAGCGGCGTCGCTAATGATCGCGACGATATCGGTATCGTTTTTGATATCAACGACGACAATTTCGTTCGCTCGCCTCCAAAATCCACGTGAGAATCGAAGCAACGGCGGTTGGTTTCCCGCATCATCATCACGTATCGCTCTGATAGCGCGATACGCGCGCTTTTACGAGACGTACCAGTAATACACTATTACGCTATGCAAAGAGAGTGCGCGATGGTTCTTTTTTTTTTTCCTTATCTTTAGCGCGCACTTTATACGTCCGCGTGGGACGATGTGCAGAGAATTATCACGCGAATCCCGATGGAAGACAAACTGTGATATCCCCAATTACGTCGAAGCGAAAATTTTTAAAGGAAAAAACGCGAACGTCAACGCTATACACGCGATGACAAAAAAGAGCGTTCTTGACGTTCTTAAAATTACGTCTCGCGTTCCTGGCGTTTTATTCCCGACATCGCTCGTCGCAAAAATTACTCACCTCAAACTTCTCTCCTCTCGTTTTTCGCGTAACGTAACACATTCAGATGTGAAATGCGACGCCGATATATCCGAGAGCCTTTAAGAGAAGAGGAAATGCATTTCGAAAAAACACACACAGTGTGTCTTTCTCTCGTTCGCGCGCGTTACTAATTACTGGAAACTAATAAAAATTGCATAACTTTTGTTGACAAATGTCATTGAAAATTTTTCACGTGTTATTTTACGTATTACTTGCACGTTTAAAAAAATTTCCATGACATACTTTTCGGAAAATCTTCGACTTTTCAATCACCAACTTTGATTTTCTCCCTCGTCCGCGTCCGTTCGTGATCAAGCAAGACGTGACTTCTTCCACATCTCTCGATACGTCTTCGCTCGCAGTCCAGTCATGCAAATGCGAGTCTTCCGCGTGGATTTTTCTCGTCTTTCGCAGCCAGAACTTTTACGACGACAAACGGCACGTTGAGCACCGTTGAGCGAACAAGTTCCGCCCGTTTACGAGCGGTTTGGCGGAAAATCCCGCGGAAATTTCACCGACGGAACCGCCGGCGCGGTTGATGCGTACTGCACATCTACCGTATGACGTTATCCATAAACGCATAGGGCGGATTAAGGCGTGCCGGATAGTCCGCCTGCATCGCGCGAACAGCACGAGGTTTACGATGAAACTTTCGTCTGACGGAGATATCCGCACGGTCGCACACAGATCGCTGTTACACGGGATGATGTTGTAATTATAGGATTGAGATTGTTCCCAACTCGGAGGTAAGTCGCAAATAACGAAAGTAAACCCCCCTTGAGAGAGATGAGACTTGTTAACGCTCAAAGGTCGAAAGGATATAACGTAATAAGAAAGCAATCTGCCTCTCTCTCTCTTTTCCTCTAACTCGTTTGAAAGTGAAATTTAAAATATGCAGAATTTTATTTGCGTTTAGTGCATAATATTCTGCGATAATTACTTGTTAACGACCGCGCGTCTTTACGCTGACCGCGTCAGAAAAAGGGAGCCGCTCGGTGGGGGTCGCAATACATATGCAATTTACATAGAAATTTGCAAAGTTTACGTCGCATATTAGCAATCAGCTTTTTTTACAGCAAGATTCTTTATATCTCTGTGGAGTAATAAAAATCTTGATATTAAATAAATCGACAGAAATATAAGGCCGATACGAGCCATTCGCAGAATGTTTGTGCGGAAACTAAGCGTGTACATATATATATATATATACATGTAACGAACTATACTTATAAATTTTTACAAGTATTTTTTGAATTGAAAATCTCAATTCTTAAAATCATACGGGATGCTAGATTTGCATCTCACATATGAAATACCCCAGTTAGTTAGGGGGGTATTTGGGGTATTTCATATGTGAGATGCAAATCTAGCATCCCGTATGATTTTAAGAATTGAGATTTTCAATTCAAAAAATACTTGTAAAAATTTATAAGTATAGTTCGTTACATGTATATATATATATATATGTACACGCTTAGTTTCCGCACAAACATTCTGCGAATGGCTCGTATCGGCCTTATATTTCTGTTGACAATTTCACGAGCGTTAAATCTTTTAAATAAATCGAGTTAAAGTTTAAGCTCATTGTTAACCGAAACGCGCGCGCGTAACGATTTATTAGTTTCCGCGAATTTTCGTTGTTTGGGGGGATGATCTGTGAATTTTTACATTTTTGTAATCGGTCTTACAAAACTGCAATGATCTCCGCGTGATTTCACGTGTCGATGTGACCCCCGTATCGTACGTGTGTTCACACGCGAGAGAACCGGAGAGGCACGCAAGGGACACACACGGGGAGAAAGACACACGGGGGGTCTGTGGTGGCTCCTCTGCAACGCACAGGCGCACCCGACGCACACACACATTATAAAGGCCGGCGTCGCGACGCTTCGAGCGTCATTCCCGCGCGTATTCCGACGCGTTGCCCGGCGTCGTCGTCGGTGACTCACACTCGAAGAAGCCATCCTCGCTACACATCTTGCACTCTCTCCACGTGAGAACGAAAAGAAAAAAACCGCTTGTGCAAAAAAAAAAAAAAGAAACAAGTTCTATCTCTTCGGGAAGAGAAGCCCGTAGCAGAGGTTTCCCGTATTTCTTTCAGCGACCAAAGAAACCTAGCGCGTCTGTTACCTGCAGTCTTGACGATAGTTTCAGCAACAGGTGAGCAGTTCACTTTTGAATCATATCTTTCTTCAGCGTATATTGTTTTGTACATCTTTCTATGTATATTTATGTGTCTTGTTGTACATTTGAATATAGTTTTGCACATCTTAAACGCGATATAACAAAATATAATTAACATAATATAAAAATGTCGCATAGTTTTTGAATGAAATTTTTCTTACTTTTTCTGTTTTCTTTTTACACACAAGTCTACTGATATAAAATATAGAAATGAGAAAACTTTGTACTTCGAGTAGTTCATATGCGACATACATTACGTGATGTGTAAACAAGAAATTAAATAAAAAGAACGAGATATTACTTTATTGCAAGAAATATATTTTTCGTTGATTTTTGAAGAAAACTCTCAAATATAATGTACAATAATGTATAAAATGTACAATACATTCTATATTTTATTGTAGTTTATTTTCTATCCTGTTGCTTTTAGCTTTTTCGAAATCTTTTTCAAGCCGATTACAGTTTTCAATTCAATTTTTTTCCGTGTTTACACATAAAATACATAAACCTACAAATTCGCGGGAAAAAGAGAGTCTAAACCCGATGATACGTAGCAAATAAAGAATTGTTTCTAACAAAGTATTAACGAAATATTGTTATATTAATAAAAGAGTTTAGATCTCTATTTTTGTACTCTTTCGTTAGTATAAAAAATGTAGAAAAAAGATATGAAAAAACGTAACTAATATACCGAAGAAACGTAATACATACAATATACATATAACAAAATTGTGTCATGTAAATTAGAAATCAAGAGTATTTAGTCTCGGAAAGCAAAACGATGTCTTTGCTTTTATAAATCACTATTGATCAGTCAATAATTTACCAATATTGTGATAGGACAAGTTTTCTTTTTCTCATTGTCATTATCGCAATAAAAAATTCATATAATCCTAAGTATTTTTTAGCAAATGTCTTTTATATAAAAAAGCAAATCTAAGAATAAAATTATTAAACTTTTTTTATTTGAGAAGATTTAGTTAAATTGAGTTAATTAGCGCAAATTATTTTTTATTTTAATAAGCAACTATACACATCTTTCTTTTTAATTAATTACTGATAAATATTTTTTCTAATGCGCAACACACAGTATTGTGTTATATATTTTGTGATATAAGAAAGAAGATCATTTTACGCAGAAACATCGGAGACATTGGCTTTTAACAGCCTTTTACCTATTTCTATCAATTCTTTTTCTATCAGTTTCTATTTCTATCATTTATTAAAACTGACAATACCGTGCAGCTGTGGATCTCTAACTTGATATTATTTCATTTCTGTTTATTTATTTTTTAGTTTTTATTACAATTAATATTTTTTCGCAATTTATTTAATTTTTGTACAATAAATGCGATTTTTGTTTACTTCCATATTCGCATAAAGTTACTTATATGTACTAGTGTTGACATAATTATTTTTACATATTATTTGTGACACGTATCACAAACAGCATAAAAATTTATAGATCTATAAGAGGAAAAACATTATACATATATTCATACGTAGTTCCGACATTTTTATTAATTTTTGACACGTACTGTTTCTAACGTAACAAATTTTATTATATTTTTCTATGTGAATATTTTTACAAGTTTTATTATATTTTTCTAAATGAGTTTGTGTGTGTGAGAATTCAATCATCCAACTATTTACGTAATTTTCCTGAATTGACGGAAAGACGAAAAGAGTATTGTAAGTAAAGCTCTTTTCACAATCGCGATAAAACTTGCTACTAAATTAAATTGTTTTCGAGAACGAAACGTACGACAGACCAACGATCAAATAAAATTTATTTACGAGTTTAAAAACGCTGAAAAACAGGAAGTGAAAATTTTCACTGACGTGGACATATATATTTTATCAAGATATCTATAGATTATACCGCGGATCGGGCACACGAAGCACGTGCGCATAATCTCCACAATTTTCGCTGAACTCATCTAGAAAACTGCTTTTGTTCGATTCAATTTTCGAGGTAGGTCTTGCTCAAGAAAATCTACGTACCCCTATTTTCCGTACAACATATAAATACACGCGTTATACATATTTACAACAAAAATACATCCACCTTCGGTATCAGATACCTCGATGGCACGAACGATAATCCCTTCTGTACGCGGCGCGCGACATTTCCATGGTAATGTACGGAGAAAATAAAAATTCCTGAACCGACTGAACACACTGACAACCGAGCAATGAGAAGAGCTTATAACGTGGTACACACAACGTAATCGAAGATTAAAGCTTACAACATCAATATTCTCGCGGATACGACAGAATAAGTGATCATATTATTATTATTTTTTTTTTTTTCATGCGAGTAACAACACGCACGTGTTGTCACGCAGGTGTCTATATTCAAGAAAGTTCAAAGAAGAAGAAAAAACGACTGAAACTTTTCTGATCATATTAAGTACTAAGTGCAATACATTTTTTATCAATACAGGGAGATACTTTAGTTGAAAAAAAAAAAAAAAAACGCAAACGTGAGAATTTGATCTTCGTGACAGAATTTTCATTCTAAGACGCGACAGTTACTAATTATTTATCCTCAAATTTCACTTTTTTACGATGACGATCCGATTACGTTTATTCGAGTTTTACGCTCCGTCCTCTCTCCTTACATACGCCAACGCGCGTGTTTGTCAGACGCAACGTAACGAGATCGCAGTTGGGAGGCATCGCCGAAACAATGAGAGAGATGATGATAGCACAACGAGAACGTTAACCCTTAATGAGACCCGCGAGATGATTGCCGTGTCCCGCAAAGTGCCGTGCGCGCAAGGTCTATGAATAGCAAAGCATTTTTTTACTACGCGATAAAACTGATGAATTTTAAAAGAAAGAGAGAGATAGAGAGAAGAGTGTGTTTATATAAAATACCTGTGAGGTGAGACAATGCATAAATCGTTCTTAGACGACGCGCAAGGTGCGCGCAACACAGCAAATTATAATTTTAGAGAAAAAAAGAGAAAAAATAATCTTCCTTTTTAATGGCGGCAAAAGAAGGGTGGAATGCAGATCGGTCGGTTATAAAATTGACACCGTGAATGCGCGCGCGAGACGTAGGCGAAAGAAAGTAATCTCGGATACTATGCGTATGTTTAATGGGGGCAGGAGAAGATGAGAAAAACTCGGGACAAAAAGAAGAAAAAGAAAAAAGGAAAACACGCACCGTTATATTGGACGGCCGTTATTGCTGTTTCTCCCTCAATCCTCTCACCCTTCGTCATTTTCCCCTTCGCGGACTTGTTTGCAGCTCATAAGTCGCTACTTGTTCCGGCTGTTTTGCGTCGCTTATTAGCTCCGGGGGAGGCTGACGCATTATCTCTCGCGAATGAAATTCGAAACCGCGCGCTTAAAAACGAGGTCGTCGCACGGAAACACTCCGAGGGAGGAGATTCGCAACAGCTGTCGTGCGTTCCCGCGAAGTTACGAACCGGTGTTTCAAGCGCGGCGCGACACTTTATTCGCGAATGACGGTGAAATTGTTTCAATGTGTCGCCGGAACGAACTGTATCAAACATACGCTGCACTATAATTTTTCCGCGTCCGAGTTTGCAAACGCGAGAAATTAAACAGTTTCCAGGCAGTTATCTCGTATTTCTGTTAATATTATTTGTATATAATTTTACAATTTGCAAATATCTTTGTGCGAAATGCAATGGAGTTTGAAAAATTTTATTTTATTTTTCTGACGCGCGTTGTTGTACGCACGATGCGTGTTTTTCCTTGCAATATTGTGTGCTCGCAGGCTTCTTTATAGACAATAACGTTGCAAACTAACTGGAAGAGAAGGGAGAAGAGTCGCTCTTAGGACAGTTTCAGATATATATAGAGGAGAGACAATATCGCGTGAAAGAACACACAAAGTGTAACGTATGCTCTAATCTCGTCTCGCATCTATATTTTCTATCACCGCAAGATTTTAGCGTCAAGCCGTGCGCGTAGCAAAGTGCACCGTTCATCAATTTTGTTTGTACTGTCGTGTTGTGTCTTTAATTATGGTTGTAAGTCATGAGCCTTTGACGGCTTTTCGATGCGGCATTAAATGCTTCATTGCCCGTTTATACTGCACGTATAACCTTCGTTTGCCTTCGTATTTCTTTGCACGGCGTTAATTAGTGGTTTGCGATGACGAGAACTAGTTTTCATCGAGGCGACACACTGCACACACGTACGCGCATATTCGATCGGGTTTCCATAATTTGCGCTTTCTCTAAGTGCAAGTGATATTTATTTTATTGTGTACTACAAACGTGACGTAAATTTGTGTCGTGTTTTAAAAATACCAGAAGTAATCAATAGATGTGTGAAACGTAGATAAAAAAAGTTTTATATTAATACAATTGTATCTCTTTATCTTTTGCCCTATCTTTCATCTCTCAAGATTGTATCTTTACTTATCTATTTTATCGTGCATACGTGTGTGTTCTCTCACGAGAAATGAGAAAATAATTGGTCTCTTGTGTAAAAGAAAAACACAGTTATGCAATTTAATGTTTATTGCATCGCTTATATTTTACGACTGATACATGTATAATTTTCTATACGATCAGAATCATATGTTTGTGTCACACAAACATATATTTGTGACAAATCGGACTGTCGCTACACAGTAAAAAAAAAAATGTTAATTTTAACATTTTTTGCATGTCCCAGGAGGTCCACTCTAAATTGTAAGTTAAAACAACTTATTCGTTGTGAGTCACTTATTGACAAACTAGTAAAGT